AATGGCGTGACGGAACGTCATGTGACGTCATCGACCAGGAAACTATAAAGCACACCTGAACCAAACAGCGTCAGCTTCTGATGTAGCAAGTCGATCACGGGCATGCAGCGTCTTGTTCCCTCTTATCCCTCTTATTGGTTCATCTATAGGCTACATTCACACTGCGAGCCTCAATTCTGATTTATTGCTCAGATCCGATTTTTGTTGTATAGCTGTTTACATTGTTGTTTTAAATGTGGCCAATATCAGATTCCAGTGTGAACAAAAGATAAAGATACAGTATGTTACTTTTCACACTCTTCATATGACAGACGCAAAGATGACAGAAGATTTACTCGCAATTGCTGTCCTGGGTCAAAACATGAGAGCAGTTGCGTTTTTGACCAAACATATAATGGTGTGACCCGGTGAATGGTGAGATATTTTTGCTAAATAAATTGATCCTGCCAGAAGAATGGCATGATAACTTTACGATGTCTGTTCCGTCTGTATCATCTCAGTGAGCTTTAATGAGGTTTTACTAGGAGTGTGAATTTAAGGTGAATTTAGCGTTTTACACAACTGTGCCTTCATGATAGCATTAATAAAACAGCATTTTCTCAGCATCAATACATTACATAGAAATCCACCAGATGTTCAATAGGCAGTTCAATGTACCAAATCATGTACCATTCAATGTTCTGAAAATATCAAAACACTTATGGAAGATGGAAACTTACAAACATAAATAGAGTCTTTGTCGCTGCTATGGGTGGAGATCCTTGTGAGGTTGGGTAATAATGACTCTTGTGACCTCATGGTCGGCTTTCTGTCCAGGAACTTTGGTGTCCAGAGTGGCAGCTATGTGTCATACAAGTTGGGGGTCAATGGAAATGTTAGTCTGGGATACCATCTTGTCTGGTAGGCCAGGGTCGGATACCAACTAGAGTAGACCATCTGAAACCAGATAAGACCACATTAGGCCAGTTTAAGATTTAGACATTTCTCTGTAACAATGACGCACATTAAGTTGAAATTCTGGCTTCAAGTCTATGTTGTCCTATAGACCTTATGCGCCAGAGAAACAATCTTCAGAATTGTGTGTTTGAACTTCTGTTTTTGCGGTAGCTCTGTATGTTTATGGCATCGCTGTTGAAGAGTAATCAGCTGGTGAAGTGGATTTACTTATTGTAGAGTTAATGAAAGTTATCATGAGCATTGTAATGTTTGAAGCGGATGTCATAACAAATGTCAGTAGACCGGAAGGAAGATTTTAAAACGAGCGGTTCATTCATCAAGTCAAGTCAAGTTATCTTCATTTATATATGTATAAATCATTCATAAATCCGTAAGATCTCTCCTTCATGCTGTGGAAATACAAACAGAAACACAACGTTTCCCTTTCTCCTTCAATCCATCCATTTTCCTTCCTTGCATTCATCCCTCCGTCATCCATCCATCCTTAATTTTTATCAATCTCTCCCTTTCTTCTTCAATCTATCCATCCATCTATTCTTCCTTCATTCCATCCATCCATCCATCCGTCCTTCCTTGCATCCATCCATCCATCTTTGATTTGTATTCATCCCTCCCTTTCTCGTTCCATCCATCCCTCCCTTTCTCTTTACTTCCTTATTTCCTTCCTTCCATTCCTCCCTCCCTCCCTCCCTCCCTCCCTCCATCCATCAATTCATATCTCCATCCATCCATGCTTAATTTTTATCAATCCCTCCATTTCTTATTCCAACATCCATCTATCTATCTATCTATCTATCTATCTATCTATCTATCTATCTATCTATCTATCTATCTATCTATCTATCTATCTATCTATCTATCTATCTATCTATCTATCTATCTATCTATCTATCTATCTATCTATCTCCATCCATCCCTTTCATTCATCAGTCAATATTGTAATTTCACATCTATCCTCCTGTATTTCTTGTACATAGCCTACTTGTTTCCTTGCGGAACTTGACAACTCCCAACTGACAACTTGTGAATCCCCATAATTCGAGCTTGTCTCATACTTGTCTCATCTTCTCCTGTTTGCTTTATTAATTTCCAGTTAAAACAATTATCTTTTTAAAAACTAACAAACAATAACCCCATTAGCATTGACTTCTCTGTGTTCTTCAGGTGTTTACACAAGCATGAGAATGTGAGTATGGCATTTCACAAGTACCATAATTGGTTAAGAAATTACCAGTTGTCCCCTTTTAGATTAACGCTATTGAGTTTTTCAATGTTTAATTTCGAAGTCCAGTATATTGACACATCTGCCAGACTCACTTCACTGCTCAACAGAATCGGTGAACCTGAGATTGAGTTAAATGTTAGTGTGTGTCATGAATATATTGTGGACAGGAATTTCCTTTGCAGTATTTGGTCAGCATATGAGGTCAAATCATTTAGGTCACTCTTTTGATCCAAGTACTTTTAGCGCATACTGTAGTATATGATTAAGTCTTTTCCCTTTTTCAGGCCTTGTTTTTCTTTTTTTTTTACTCAGTTATTTTACCCATACCCATTCATTGCATGAAGACAAATCACACGCAGGCGAGTTTTTGTTAACATGTAGCACGAGGTTAGGCTCTTGTTTTGTCAGACGAATGCATTAACCTTGCAGGTATCATCTCAACACCTTTCTTTCTTTTTTTTTTACTCCAGCTAGTGTTTGTAGTTCATCAGAGCAGAGATGAAGATGACTGATGAAACCGATCGCTTGGGTCATTATCCTCCACGTTACAGGGCAGAGAAAATTAAAATTTGATTTGTGGAAGGGCTGTGTTTTGTCGTTCTGGTGGATAACCGGACGTGAAAAATGTGCCCCAGTCTCCTGCTCTAAGAGCGAGTCTGTTTACCCCTGAACGAGGAGAATTAATTAACCTCGTTTATATTCTGGGCTCGTACTTGCAAACCCATCCTGATGTCTAGGATCCATCTCAGAACTTGCTTCGTGTTTGTCCCTTTGTCTTGAGATGAGATCTGACTTTAAGATCTTGATTGTAATAAAGGATGAAATCATTGTAATACGCTGATTTGCTGATCAGGAAACATATCTTTTAATATCTTATTACCAATTTGGTTTTGCTGCTTAATATTTGTGTGGAAATCATGGTGTGTTTTCAGGATTATTTTATGAATAGAAGAACTTTAAAAATGTCTTTACTGTCACTTTTGATACATTTTTATTTTAATCAGTAGTATGCTACATTGCGGTCACATGGCCTCCTTAAATGCATAATGCAAACATCCAGTTAAAATGGTTATTTTGCATTCCAATTAAATAATGCAACAATAAGGTGATTGTAGTTAACATGATTGGGAATGGAAAGTCAAATTAAGCACATTGTATGATGGGATACAATTTCTAGCACAATATGCTTGCTTTAGTTGTACATTTTAGCAAATGTAGTAGGTCATCGGTTCTTGTTTGCATACAGAAAATATGCATTCACAGTATACACACTTATATACTTCTGAAATAGTATAGTAGTATGCGTTTTTGAACATAGCCAGTCATTCTAGCTGTCAAATGAGATGTATAGTAATTAACACAATATATAAAGGCCTTTATTACTGTGACTTCTCTTCAACAGTATTGACTTTAAGCCACTCCTAATCGGGTTTTGTGATGCTTCAGTGCAATTTTCAATTAGCGCTGAACATTGACATGTGACACATCACTGAAGAAGGAGATTAATATGAAGAGAAATGAACTGAGAGCTGAAAAGAAGAGAAGAGTGGTCTGTTTCTCTGCCAATGGCATCTTGTCCGACTTGAGCTTGCGAAAGAAAAGCTGGTGCATGTCTTAAGCCAATGAACATGACAGACTATCCACACACACACACCAAGTGTACAACTGAGTTGCTTTCTGAAAGATCTTGAAGATCTGTGAAGTTACTGGCTGTCAGGAAAATCTTAAATGGATGGGCACATTTCACCCCAGGATTAAAATAAAAAAAAACATACAAAATTATATTTTGCATCAGGAAAATTAAGCAGGTTTTAGAATCATTATGATTTCTTGCATTGTAGTATTATTTTCAGGACATGTACTGTATGCACATTTTTACCATAAATCCTTATTGTGATGCATCCAGACATTTTACTTTTGAGCTTTTATTGTAATTCTCATTATTCTCAGTGGTGATTCACATTATTTATACATTTATTATTATGAATCAAAGGTAGTACAACAAATACAGCATAATACATACATTACTATTTAAATAACTATTATATATTGTATATCATTATTCTCATGTTTTTTTCTTACATTAGTTAGAATAAATTTTACTTTCTGTCTTTCTTTCTTTCATTTTAGAAACAATGACTATAGATGTATTACATTAATATAAATGGTAAATGTGTATTATACATAGTTCAGCCATGACTATTTGTAAATAAAGTTAAATTTTTCATTGTTCTTTACACATTTTAATTAACAATTACACATGTCTGTCAAGCAAAGGCTTTGACAAATATATTTTTTGTTCAAAAACTGTTCACTATTGTTGTGTGATGTGTGATTTTCAGAAATAAATGACAAAAATCTAATTTCCGTTTTTGAAATTCTCTAGTTTATTGTACATGTTTCACTCATACTTCCTTTATAAACATTTTACATGCATGCTTATGTTAGCTTAGGGTCTTCTGAATCCATAGATACCAAACACATAGTGTTCCATCTCCATTACATATGGTTTATAAGCCCAAATGTAAAAATAGAGAAAACGGACCAAAAAGGGCTTAGTCCCCAGAGGGTTACTATATATACACATACATATACAGTAGGTAACATGCAGTTGAAGTGGATCAAAGAAAAGTTAATCAAAGTTGTCCTAAGACAAGAACGGGTATTGTTCAAAATTCATGTATAACTTTGATGAAAGGTTTTGATCCACTTCAAATGTTGACAATACTGTGTATATTAGAAAATACCATGATATTAAAATGTCATAATCTTTGAAAAGGAAATGTTGCCATTGACATCTCTCTCTGTTTCCCTCTAGCAGGAAGATGAGCGCAACGCTGGCACCGTTCATGACAAAGATCAAGCTGAAATCCGCAAGTTGCTCACGCAGAAGTACAAGAAGTTGCCATGGAAACCAGAGGTATGTATGAGCATCATGCTTTACTTTATTTTTTGTCATTTTGCGTGTGACAAAGACTCATTATCGCTCTCTTTTGTTAGCCAGCTGTGTAAGTTCATAATGAGAACTTCTCAAACCTTCACTGAAGCTCTTAATAAGCACATGTTGGCCCGGTCCATTTTCTGTAACGTGCAATTTTGTGCAATGAACAAACTGCATTACTGTCAGATTTTAAAGTCATCTGCAATATCTGCCAAGATTTAGCTCACATTTTCAGGGCTTAAGTTAGAGTGCTTATTAGTATTCAAAGTCTGAGTGTGGTTGTTCTCGTAATTTTACTTAATTACTGAACTGAAACGCTGCTCAACCTACTGGATAAAAGAAAATGCAAATTTGGAAAATCATAATCTCTTTCTGCTTTTTTTTGTTTGTTTTTTTTGCCCCAGTATACTGGACCAAACAGTTGGGAGGATGATGTATTAAATTGGACGGTTTATCCGACTCCATTAAAGTGACATTATTGTCATAATTATTCCCGTTAGATAAAGTAAAAAGGGTTCCTCCTAAGCTGCTTATGTGGGAGCGCACAGGATTTAACTGAGTGCTCTGAACTGTGGGCATTTCAAACCATGAGGCTGCGAAACCAAACCACCACATGCAACATAATGAGTCAGAGCCGCTATATTAATCACTATGAATGAGGGCAGGTGAATTAGATGTACCATTTTAAAATAATAGCATAGAGGTGGGCGAATGGCAGCGGTTTGTTTTCATGGGCATTATGGATGTGATGGCATCTGTTCCCTGAGAGGTCCCGATAACGCAGGGCTCTCTAACTCTCTAGCCGGGTTACTATTTACAGCTATTGGCACAGTGAGCACCAAAGTAAGATATAAGGATTTACCAATTGTACTGTTGCTGAAGTGTACAGTAGTATGGAGCTTTGCAGCTGATTGTCCGTGAAAGTGAGCGTTCGGAGATGACGTGCCGCTTCGAGGATCCAAGCCGGTGTGGCAATACCAGCATGACGAGATATCCCTGACGTGCTTTACTGAGTCTGCGAAGGAATTCGACTGACCTTCACAAAGGCCAGTCCTGGTACCCACTGAACAAACTCTTTTTCCAACGCTGACTTGTGTCGGGACTCATCTGGAAAGAAAACATCATATGAATAAACATGGATCTGCACATGGATGCACACTGCCGTTATCAGATTTGACCGTATTCATTTTCTGTTCATATTTTCAGCCTATTTTCAAAGGGATGCACCAATATTAAAATGTTTTTTTTTTTTATGTTATTGGCAATATTCAAATTATATGTTTGATATAAAATGTAAAATAATAATACACACTAGAAATACATAATAGTTTTAAGTGCTAGTAGTTTATTTAAGCATCACGACATGCATTTATGCACAGTATGAACAAATTATACATTTTGAATTGTGCTAAAGATTACATTTAACAATGTTAAAAGATTAACTTTAAGTGAGTGTTAGATGACTGCAGTTGCATTTCTACTGTTTCATTGTTTTTTTTTTATTTGTTTTTTTTATAATTTGTAGTATTTCTTAATTTTTTTATTTTTAATATGTTCAGTTTTTATTTAAAATAGTAGTATTTGTTTGTAATTTTTGTTGTGCTTTTTTTTTATATATATTTCTACTTATTTTTATTTCGGTTTTAGTTTAGTAATTTTAGTACCAAATATATTATATATCTGAGAAAGAGTTCAAGGACAAAGTGTCTTGTATATGTGTTATGATGTGGTGAGGAACGAACCCAAATGCAGACAGCGAGTAACTCAAACAAGGTTTAATGACGACAAAACAGAAAGTAAAACCTACGATGGGGCAAAACAGGACAGAATAAACTGATAATACAGGAACTCACAACTCGAACGACAGACAAGGATCAAGACACGGATGACAAAGGTTTCACGGAGTAATCTCAATAGACAAAGAACCAACAAGGTTAGACATCAGACAGTGTTTAAACAATGAACCGACAAAAGACAGAGAGAACACGGGGATTACATAGGGAACCACTAATGAGCAAGACAGGTGATAACAACTATTCAATGATGACAAGACAGGGATAACAAGGGGGGCGGGAACTGGTAACAAGACAACACAAGCACATGGCCCTGACGATTGGCCATGCGCTTGTACACAAAACATGGGTCTGTCATGGTCCTGCCACAATACTAGGAAAATACACAGATAAGCAGGCAAAACCATGACAGAATCCCCTCCCTAAGGAGCGGCTACCAGACGCTCCTCAGGGAGACCACAAAACAAGACAAGACCGACTAGGACATAGACATGAACCAACAAAGCAAAACAAATAACATTAAACACGAGACAAGATCGACTGAGAAAGGGACAAGAACCAGCAAAACATAACAAATAACATCAACGGCATACAAAAATACACAATCATAGGGTCCGGGTGAAACATTAAAAATAACATACATGGAAGGGGAGGTGGAGGAAACACAAAGTCTTTAGGGGGTAGTCCAGGGTGAACAGGTGCACGGGGGTTCTTAGGTCCGCGGTATACGAGGACGGGGAACGAGGAATCCGGGCAGACTTGGAAGGGGACACACGAGGAGGTGACTTAGGGGAAACAGTTCGTGGTTGAACAGGGACAGGAGGGACAGTGGGCGACGGAGCAGGAATCGTGACAGGGAAAACTGAGGGTGACGAAACAAGTCTCTTGGCCGGGGAAACAGCTGGTAAGGGAACCGAACACATAACCGGGGGTGTAGCAGGTGACTGGGGAGTGGATGCCAAACTCACAGAATCAGACTCGGTGTTCATGAAATCCGACTCTGGATCTGTGCTTTCTGAAGCGGACTCTGAAACCAAACTCCTAGATTCAGTCACGGAAACAATGTTCTCAGCGGTAGCAAGAGGTGCAGCGCTCACCGGGACAGGATCGGGTGCAGCGCTCACCGGGACAGGATCGGGTGCAGCGCTCACCGGGACAGGATAGACAGGGGGATCAAGGATCTTGTGAAGACGGGACAGGTATTCAGACAGGGTCTTAGCCGCAATGTTAATGGGCATCTCCTGATGCGCCGAAACTGCCTGCACAATCCTCTCAGCGGCTAGATCGGCCGCAACTCTCGGAGAAGAGGGCTCTGGTACAGCACTCTCAGTCGTTGAGTCGGAAACAGCGTTCTCAGCCACTGATTCGGAAACTCTCCTCTGTGCAGCTGACCCAGGATCAGCCCTCTCCGACTCAGACTCGGGCGTTGTGCCACTTGCAGCAGCTCCAGCAACAGTTCTAACAGAAGCCGAAACAGGTAAGGAACTCACTGCGGGCACAGGAGATGGTTGGGGCGGAGAACGAGAAGGTCCCTTCTTTCTCTTCTTTCTCCTGGGACGGGAAGCAGAGACCACGAGTGGATCAGTGATCGGTTGGGGAACCATTGTCGGGTCCGAGACAGGCGGCAGAGGAACGGTCCTCTCAGGCTGGGTTGATTCCGTAGAGGACGTCTCTGACGGGGATTCCCATGAGATCCGCCTCCCTCGTTTTCCACGGAGATCAAAAGGGGTGGACGGAGCTCTAGGAGTCATGGAAGTGTCAACCGGGCTTCCAAACATCGCGACCCCTATCCAGAGACCCTCAGGGATAACCGGCAGTCGAGCAGAAGGTGAAGACGATGACTCCTCACGACCACCGCCTCTACTGCGGCCTCCACGGGTCCCACGAAATCTGACCAGACGGGTTCCCTCAAACGAACGTCCTGACATTCTCTTGGCCCGTTCTTCTGTTATCTAGTTATGGTCGGTTCATTCTGTTATGATGTGGTGAGGAACGAACCCAAATGCAGACAGCGAGTAACTCAAACAAGGTTTAATGACGACAAAACAGAAAGTAAAACCCACGATGGGGCAAAACAGGACAGAATAAACTGATAATACAGGAACTCACAACTCGAACGACAGACAAGGATCAAGACACGGATGACAAAGGTTTCACGGAGTAATCTCAATAGACAAAGAACCAACAAGGTTAGACATCAGACAGTGTTTAAACAATGAACCGACAAAAGACAGAGAGAACACGGGGATTACATAGGGAACCACTAATGAGCAAGACAGGTGATAACAACTATTCAATGATGACAAGACAGGGATAACAAGGGGGGCGGGAACTGGTAACAAGACAACACAAGCACATGGCCCTGACGATTGGCCATGCGCTTGTACACAAAACATGGGTCTGTCATGGTCCTGCCACAATACTAGGAAAATACACAGATAAGCAGGCAAAACCATGACAATATGCGCACATATACAGAGTACACCAGTAGTTGCCAAAGCAACATTTCTAATTTTCATTGAAGTTTAAGTTTTTCATGTGGTATTTATATTTTATTTTGTTTCAGCTTTATTTCAATCACAATTTTTTTAAATATATATATAGTTTTAGTTAACAATATCAACATCTCTCAAAGTATTGAATTTTCACATTGACCATAAAAAAAATACTAATAATATTAATGCATCCTTATGATAATAGACTTGATTTCTTAAACGATTTCTTAACAGAGTCCTTACTACTAATAAAAAAGACATATACAATTAAATATAGGCTAAATATATATGCAATATGGAACATTACAACAATATATATATATATATATATATATATTATCTACATGTACTAGTAGTGTTCTTTATATGTTTGCAGCTTTTGCTTTTCTCCTGTGTTAGGCTCTGAATGTTGTGTTAAGCGTCAGCCCCAGTTGCTTCTGGGAGAATGGATGGCCGGTCCCTGACAGGTCTCACAGGCCGTGTTATTTATAGGAGGGAACACAAGTGATAGCCAGCCGAATAACAGCCTCTGGGTCCAGGCAGATGTTCACAGTTTAGCAAGCAAACAGAGGCTGATATCGCTTAAAATTAGAGCAATTAATTCCCGAAACTCGTGACAAGACTCGTGGCTTGTGGGTTTGTGAGATCATTGGCAAAGTCGGCTGTTCTGATTGGCCATTCACTCAACCAA